CCCAGCAATAAACAAACAAAAAACCAACAAACCTACCTTCCAAGCCCTTCTGCTTTAAGAGCCCCTGCTAAGGAGCCTCAGGACCCCAGGACCCTCCGACACACCCACACCACGGCACTATCACTGCATCTGTTTCTTCCTGCGCTTGGGTTATCTCCGCGGCGCAGGGAAGCGCTCTGCTACCACGGAGCTGCACCACAGCCCGGTTCTCCTGCTCTGCCTCGCTGCGCCGCTAGAAAGCTCAAAAGCACCCCACGCTCGCGGGCACGCGCACGCCCGGCCCACGCACTGTCCAGGCGGACATTAAACATTACAGGCAACGCAGCGCCCGCGTCCTCTTTTATTCTCATCACACGGGGTGCAGTCGTTTCCGAAGAGCGCAGAAGGTTAGTTACTACAGGATCCCACTGAGTAACATTCTCAGAATGACAGAATTGTCCGGATTGGGTTGCAGGGTCACAGGCGGGGGCGAGGGGGCCGCGGCTGCCAGAGGGGAGCCCCAGGGCCGTGGCCGCGGCGGTGGGGACCTCTGGAACTGGCCTGCGGCGCGGCCAGACTGTGGCTCTGAGCGGCTCACACAGCTCTGCCGGACGGTGACATCCAGGCTCCCTTGAACTGTCACCACGGTGTCCTTTCTGCAACAACCTCCAAATAAAGTCCATTGTTTCGAAAGAACAGCGGCTGGGGATGTAGCACAGCGGCCCAGCGCCTGCCTGGCAAGTGCGAGGTCATGAGTTTGAATTCTGATACCACAAGAAAAAAAGTTAAAGTAAAAATCTCAAACTGTCTCATTAACTCATTCCCGGGAAGTAAATATTGGATACATATCTGCCCAGCCAAGGCGCCCGCACTTCAATCAATCTTCTCTTGCTTTTTTTATTTACATTAAAAAGAAAAAAAAAAGAACCAGGCTTGTAACATCCAGAGGCTGAGGCAGGAGGATCTTTGAACCTAGGAGTTGAAGGCTAGTCTGGGTAACATAGTGAGACCCCATCTCCAAAATAATCAAAACAGCTGGGCATGGTGGCACTTGCCTGTCATCCCAGCACTGGGAGGCTGAGGCAGGAGGATCATTGGGAGTTCGAGACCAGCCTGGGCTACAAAGTGAACTCAAGGCCAGCCTGAACTGCATAGTGAGACCCTGTCCCAAAAAGAAAAAAGAAAAAAAAAAAATCAAAACAAAAAACTCACTTAAGTAACACTCTAACTTAAATGTTTTTCTTTAAAGGGACTCACCAAAGCTGAGATGGGTTCATACATTTCGGCTTTGTCCTAAAGAGGGATAACTCCTGAGACGCCAGTTATTTTTTCCCCCAGCTCTCCAGAAAATAAATACAGAACTATGTTCTGAAAGCTAGAATGGAGCCAGGCATGGTGGCGCACACCTGTCATCCCAGCATTTGGGAGGCTGAGGCAGGAGGATTGCTGTGAGTTCGAAGCCAGCCTGAGCGACATGGTGAGACCTTGTCTTAAAAAAAAAAAAAGCTATACTGGTGTTACCTGCATGCATCCTGTTTGTTCTAGTGCGCTCTCCTTACACTTAGCTGGCATTCACGCGCACATGCACCACACGCACGCTGCTGCACGCAGGTAACCCGGGATGCTGCCTTCTGTCTGTTTTGCGAAAGTACAGGACTGAGAACCAGGCTGGATACCCCCACAGCGAGGGAGGCTGTGAAGAGGAGGCACCAGGCTGTTAAGAGGGAAGGGGCTAGAACCAGTCCACCAGAACAACGCCCACTCACCAAGGTCTGTGTTAGGATATGGCAAACAGAAAGACTTGGGAGGCTGAGGCAGGAAGTTTGCAAATTCAAACCCTACCTGGGCAGTTTAGTGACTTAGTGAGACCCTGTCTTAAAAAATAATCTTCGATGATGAATGTGATCACTGTGTATGCCTAAAATGTACCAATAAAATCTGATTGGAAGAAACAAAAAGAAATATAAAAAAGAGCTGAAAATGTAGCTCAGTGAGAAGTTGAAAAAAAAAAAAAAAAAAAGTTGGGCGTGGTGGCACACACCTATAATCCCAGCACTCAGGAGGCTGAGGCAGGAGGCTACATAGCAGGACCCTGTTTCCAGACAGAGAGAGAGACACCCAAAGGAAGTGGGGATGGTTGAGCGCACAGCGGCCAGGGAGGCCTCCCCTCACACCGATTCGCTCTTCTGGGGCACGGTGTCCACCGTGGAGCGGGTGAAGGACTTGGTCTCCCTGTTTATGGTGTCCTCGGTCAGCACGTTGCGCAGGAGGCTGGGAAGGGACTTGAGCAGCCGGCCCTGGAAGCCGCGGCCGGCCGCCACGTAGATGATGGGGTTGATACAGCAATTGATGTAGGCGATGGAGACACACAGGGCGTCCAGGGCTTTGGTGCTCTTGTAGGTGGACGAGATCGGGGGGTACCAGGCCAGCAGGACCCCCGTCACCTGGTAGGGCAGCCAGAAGACGAAGAAGCTGCTCACCACGGCCACCACCACCTTGATGGTCTTGGCCGAGCGCGTGGCCCTGCGGCTCCAGGTCCGAAGCAGGAGGAAGGTGTAGCAGACAGCGAGCGTGAGCAGCGGCCACAGGAAGCCCACGAGCAGCCGCACCAGGGCCACAGCCTTCTCCTTGCGCTCGCTGCCGAGGCCGTAGTCGATGACGCACAGCGTCTTGAAGGAGAAGTCCTCTTTGTACGTCCTGCGGAACATGAAGGACGGGATGGTCAGCAGCAGCGCCAGCACCCAGGCCGCCCCACAGGCCGCCCAGGCCAGGCCGCCGGCCCGGAAGCGCTGGCACCAGATCGGGCTGAGCACCAGCGCCAGGCGGTCGGCGCTGATGGTGGCCAGCAGCAGGATGCTGCTGTACATGTTGAGCAGGATGAGCGAGGGCAGCACCCTGCAGGCGGCGTCGCCGAAGGGCCAGTGGCTGAAGCGCAGGATGGACATGAACAGCACGGGCAGCGCCAGGCAGGACAGGAGGTCGGCCAGCGCCAGGTTGAGGAACCAGATGGCGTTGATGTTGCGCCGGGCCTCGAAGGCGGTCACCCAGACCACGAGGGCGTTGCCCGGCACGCCCACCAGGAAGACGACTGCCAGGATGACCAAGGCGGAGAGGTCCCCGGCGGACAGACGCTCCACGTAGTTGTCCACGGACGTGTCGGGGGCCAGGGTGGCGTAGTCGCTGTAATTGTAGTCCACGGCTTCCTAAGCGGAACAGAGGCAGCCGAGTCTGAGTGCGGCCCCCTGCGCCCGGCCGCCGCAAGCCTGGGCTGGAAGCCCGTGCCAGCTGTTGGGCCCGCGGCCCTCCTGGGCTTGGGGAAACCGGGGCCAGGAGTTCCCTGGCGGTGTGGCATTTGTTAACACATTGAAAGGCTTCCCTCCTCGTGGTCCCCCCGCCCCTGGCCACCTCCTCCTAAAGCCCCTGGACTT